TCGGACTCGATGATCTATTGAGGTCCCTTCCGACCCTAACATCTATGAATCTATGAAGATAAACCTGGTTGAATGTAGTATCAGACTTAACTGATTTGGATCAAACTGGTTTATGCAACCTCTGTCCCAGACCACTTCCTGGTTTAAGTTAAACCAGAGTCTCGCAGCATCCCAGCATGTTTTTCAGCCCTGGGATGGGCTGTCTGTTCCAGCCAAGCAGGGTTGGCCCTGCCCCTCTCCTCCCTAGCTGGAGCACTATCACTTCTCTGACTGACTGAGAAAAGGGTGGGGATTGGAAACCCTGCTCTGGAGGCTGCTGAGTCTGCCTGGCAATGGGGCAGCAGCCCTTGCCAGGTGTCCCCAGCCCCCCCACCCTCTTTGCTGCTCCAGCGGTGGGAGGGGGCAGGGCCAGACCGTGGTAGGTTGAGGGGAAGCGGGGATTTTATCTTTCCTTGTGGAGGTGGGGGTGGGGAGAGGCGGTGTGGGCACAAATAGACTCTGCTTATGAACCTGGGGCCATCCACCCAGGGCCATGGGGGCCAGATGCCAGTAGCCTGAGGGGAAGGGAGGGGTTTAATCCTCACCCACTGAAGGCAGCAGCAGCAGGGGGGAACCAACATGATGCCCTAGGCTCAGTCCCTCCAAGGAGTAGCCAGTTGGCCAATGTGGGGGGTGGTGTGGGGAGGGGGGATGTGGCCTGGCTGGAGGGATGGGGGGGGCTGAGGCTAGGGATGGAGCTCCCTCACTGCTGCCTCCTGCTGCAGCAGCATGGCCTGGGCTGGGGTGACACCAGGGGGCATGGGTCACTGCCTGCTGCCTCCCACATCCAGCCCCATGAAGGGGCCATGGTTTACAGGTGGGCTGCAGCTCCAGTGCAGGGTGGCTCCCTGTCCGCTCCCTCTCCTGGAAGTGGGGATAGTGGAGCAAACTATCATGGTGGGCACTGGTGAAGCACCTGCCACCTGCACAAGGTGGTGCTGGGCACTTGGGGCAGGCTGCTGTGGGCCAAGGGTGTGGGCCTCAGTGGGGGGGAGTCAGTGGACCACCACAGCCCAGTTCAGCCTGGCCAACGGCCCAGGTGCCTAGGGAGCAACTGGCCCATGGCATCCCACCCCAAATGCCTGAAGCTGTCTGGAGCAGGCGGGGGCTGACAGGTGCTCCACCTCCACCTGCCATGAGGGTTCCCTCTGCCACTGCCACCAGGAGAGGGAGGGGTGGGCTGCTGTGGGCCAGTTCCTGCCTATGCTTCTGGGCTGCAGGCCCAGGCTGGACTGGGCTGTGGCAGTCCATTGTCTCCCCTCACTACTGCCCACCCCTCTGGCCACAGAAACCTGCCCCAAGCACCCAGATTGCAGTCTGGTCTAGTCCAGCCCCACAGCCCAGGAGCATAGGCAGTAACTGACTCATGGCAGGACCCCCCTACCTCTCCTGGTGGCAGTGGTGGAGGGAACCATTGTGGTGGGCAGAGGTGAGACACCTGTCACCCGCCACCTACTCATGGTGGTGCCAGGTGCTTGGGTAAAGAGGCCACAAGCCAGACACTGCATAGGTCCCTGGGCTGTGCAGCCAGGCCAGACTGGGCTGCACACCTGGGCTGCAGGGCTGGGCCAGACCAGGGTGTGGTGGTCCATTGCCTCTCCCTGCTACTGCCCATGCTCCTGGCCTGCAGCAGTCTGGCCCAAGCATCTGGCATTGCCATGAGCAGGTAGTGCTCCTGTTGCAATAGTTCGCTTGACCGCTTCTGCTGCCAGCAGAGGGAAGGGGTGGGGAGCTGTGCTGCAGCTGTAGCCCACCTGTAGCACTCATCACCATGGCCCCAACATGGGGCTGGAGGTGATGAGTGCTGATCCTGGCCCCCTGGGGCCGCCTCAGCCCAGGCCACCGTGCTGCAGTAGAGGGGGCTCTGTATCTAGCCTTGACTTCCTCCCTCCCTGCACCCAGATCACATTCCGCCTCCCCTCCCCCGCCCCCTCCTCCCTTCCCATGGCTAGGTGGCTTCTTCTTGGAGGGACTTGGCCCAGGGCACCATGCTGATGCCCCTCCCCCCATTGTTGCCTGTCATAGGGGGATTAACCCCCCCCCACTTCCCTCAGGCTACTGGTGTCTGGCAGCCATGGCCCTGGGTGCACAAGTGGAGCATATGTGTGCCTGCATTGCCCACTTGTAATGGGTGGATTAAAACCCCACTTCCCCTCAGGCTACTATGGGCTCACCCTGTCGCCAGTGAGCAAGTAAGGGTGGGGGGGGCTGGGGACCCCTGACAGGGGCTGCTTTCCCCCCTTCCCTTCCAGAAAGACCCTGGCTTGTGTCCCTGAAGACCAGGGTCGGGGTTTAAACCCCTCCCCAATCATACTCAGGCCTGCTCAGGTCTGGCCACAGCCCCCCATCAGTTTAGTTTCCCTCCAGCAGAGGGCTTGCTTACTCTAGCACCCCCCATTTCTGGTCTGAGCCACTGCAGGCATGTGGCTGCATCTGTGGAGTCAAAGGTGATTGTCTGTTCACTTGCTAATTGGTTCAATCTACACAGGTTAGACTAACCTGCAAAGATTGAATCAATTCAGGCTCTGGCTTTTTGAATATGTGTCCCTAGCCAGTAACAGTTAGAAATGGGAGCTGGAACCTGCAAAAAGAAAAGGAGAGCTGGGATTTCAGGGAAATAATGGCTGTGGGGAAAGAGAGGGAGTTTGAGGATAGGCAGGAAAATAAACAAAATACAAAAGAATCAGGATATTTTACAGTGTCATATTCCACTTTATAATAAATGAGTCCTACCAGAGTCAATGTAGTTAACCACATGAGAAAGGCCCAGTTTCCCACTCTAAAACAACCCAATCATGCTCTGATAAGCCAGTAGGACAGACCCTGAAAGTTAGAGGCATTAGTGTGGAACAATGAAGGTGTTGTCTTGCAACAGGTTGGGCTTTTGGGGAGGCAGAGACTCATAATCTCAAGGCAGGTTTAAAGCAACTTAAAGTGAATGTTTTGTTCAAGTTAAAATGGGAGGCATAGTTCTAAGCAGGACCACTTGGGGGAGCTGCTCATTTTGGTTCCTGTCTGCCGGTGCAAAGTCTGTGTGTGGAAGGGGGCAAGGAAAACCCGCCAAGGGCTGGCAGGTAGGAGAATGTAAAGGTAGGGATTAGTGGCAAGGGAACTGGGTTTCTCAGTGTGACTGAGGCATTTTTCTCTTGCAGGGCTAAGCTGCCAGAGAAGCCTAGTCTGAAGGGGGCTTAGCACAGATGCTGTGCAGGAGAAGCCCTACGCAGGGAAGTTCAGAGTGCACCTGATGAGACTCTTGTAAGTGCCTATTTCTTTCTTCTGGTAATTAAGTGCAGGACAGGGAGTATTTCTTGGCTTCTCTGCTCCTGCCAAACCTTCCCACTGCTCAGAGCGCAGGCTCATTTGGGTTTGCACAAAGACCCTGGGCCTGACTGCTTGCAGCCTTGCACTTTGTGTAGTTGCTTATATTAGTGCAAGGTGAGTGTGAAATGCTTTCATTTGGATTTGGTAGCACTTTACACCTAGTTGGTACTTACAGGGTTCAGGTGTAAATGATTGCAGAAGCTGTGAGGTTATGAAAAGTTGGCCTGTGCACAGGCTTATGGCAGCAAGTAGAGGAGATGAGCTCCTGTTAGAGGTAGAGAATCTTAAGGAAAACAGTTCTGGCCCCCATCCTGAGGATCTGCACCTCTTTTCCTCTCATTTTGCTGGGACCAGGTGAAGCCATGCTAAGAAGAGATTCTTGCTTTAGATCAAAAGTATGCTAAATTTGACAGGTAGGGCTGAATTTCATTTTGAATGTTCAGGATTGCTCTCATTCAGAGCAAAACCTGGGTTCATACTTGAGCAGAGCACCCTGAATGTAGTTCATTAATGACACATTTGAACTGTGGTAGTGCTTAGAGGGCCAGTTGCATTAGGTACTGTACGAAGATGCAGCCAAGGTAAGGCCTTTGACCCAAAGAGCTCACAATCTAAGTGTGGGATGGGAGGCAACAGGTGGATGTGCAAACAGGGGGAGCAAAAGAAAAGAATGAGGTTGTACAGATCAACATGAGTAATGAGTTTCACCATATTGAGGCGCTGAGCTACTTTTTGTACTTCATTAGGCACTGGTGCACTCTTTTTCTGTGTGAGCTCTCATTTTTCAAAGATTTTGAGAGTCAGAATTATATGTATATTTGGAGTTTAGGTTTGAAGTCCAGCAACTTCAACTATTCTGCTAGTGGGAGGTTATTATCCCCAGTCTCCATGCCCCAGTCAGTCCTGGTTTCTCTGCTATGATTTCTAGCTAAGGTATGAACATCATGGTAGATATTAGAGTAGAATCAAAAAGCACAATCAAATCAAAGCCCTCATCACTGCATAAATGTGTAATAAAAGATAGTCCCTTCCCTAGGAATTTAAAATCTAGTTTAAAACAAAGTGGGATGTGATACATAAATTTGTCCATAAAATTCCTTTTCCATGGGGCAGTAAGAAGTCTTTCAGTAGTAGCAACATTCTTGGGCTGTACCAGTTTATTAAAATACTGTAGGAAGTGGAAAGTTCTATCTATATTACAGAATTTACCTAGTCCCTGAATCAGTAATTTCTTAATCCTAAATCTTGTGTATTATGAAGCAACTATCACCACTTTGTTGATTACAGTTTTAAAATAAAGACTATTGGATTTATTATACAGGTGGCCTTGAAAAATTAAGACGTATTTGTTTTTATTTGGAGAACAAGTGCTAAAAAACTGATTTCAGAACATCTTGTTAATCTTGGGTTTTAATATGACTTTAACTTCAGAGGGAAGTGCAAGAATGACACCTGGGTGATGTTCCTTAGAAGAATGTGGATCTATTTTATACAGGCTTTATAGAGACAGATATTCTGGCTTGTTAGACCTGGAGTTTTGTCCCAGGTCTGGCCACTTAATTTTTCTTTCTCTCACATAGAGAATCCCTATGCTTGCTTGAGTCAATGCTGTGGCTGCTCTGACCTTTCTCCTTATGCTCTGGCACAGGATTTGTGGTTAGGGAAAATTGGAAGTGGGGCTAGGGGACTTGAGCTATTTCTAGTTAGTAGCATAAAAGTTGGGGTGGGGGGATGGAATGGGGCGGGCTGGCTGGGGCACCAGCTCTGAGGCACCAAATTAGGAGGGCAGTGCAAAAATACTAGCTGCTGCTAGCGCTTTCCTAGCCAGGGCACCTTCAGCAGCAACCTAGCTGTGGTTGCTGCCCTATGGCATTACTGGGGATCCTGGTTTTCTCTGTTTGAAAATTGCAAATTCTCTAATAAAACTTCACAAATTCTCTGATTAACACCCCCATCTGTGTTTTTCCACAATTAAAATGAAACACCACTATATATATATATATATATATATATGTATTGGTTGCACATAATATTTTATTGATATATTTACCATTTTAAAGTAATTTGGAAGTCGACCAGTGCCTCAATTGTTATAATAAAATACTTTCTAAATAACTATATATTTTGGTGTTTGATTTTGGTTTTTTTAATCACAGAAAATCAGAGCTTCCCCTGCCCACTTTGCTCACTAGGATGCATGTCCAGCTGTGGCTGTCCCCCCTCTGCTGCTTTGTGGTTCTGAGCAGCCCTGATATTCCAGTGCCCTGCCCCTGCCCATGCTGTTGCCCCTCATGCCCAAGCCACATCTCCCCCGTTCCTGCTGGTGGCCCCCACTCCACACCCCTGCCCCATGGCCCCAGATGCCCAGTGTATGAGGAAGAGGGTGGGTATGTGGGGAAGGAAGGGTGTGGGCACAGGAAATGAGTGGGGGTGCAGTGGGGCATGTGACCCCCCAGATTTCTGCACACACAGTAGGGCATGGGGCTGCAGCCGGACTAGACCAGTTCTGAGCAGGATGGATGCAGTGTGGGAGGGAGCACAGTGCTGCCATGGTTGCCAAAGTGGGCAGGCAGGGGGCACCTCACCTTGGCGGCCCTGGCGGTATAGCGCTTCCTCCCAAGCTGGATCCTGCCTGCTGGGCTGTGGAGATGGCTCCTACCCAGAGCTGATCTGGCCCAACTGCAGCCCTGTGTCCTGCTGTGGGTGCAGAAATCTGGGGTGTGCATGTGTCCCATGCATCACTTGTGCTTCCCTGCCCTTCTGCTGCTTTCCCTGTGTCCTTCCCCCACTCCCCATAGACCTACATGGAGAGAGCCATGGGAGCTGCTTTCCACCGCTGCCTGGTTGCCATGTGCATGTATGCGCACACACACATGCATGTGGTGCCCCTTGCATCCCATTCCCCAAAGCCCTGAGCAACCACGAACCCCTGGTTTCCTGGGTTTTTCTCCTTCAAAGTATAAAATCTGTGATTTCTTTAAAGGAGAAAAATCCAGATTTTTCCATGGCAAACATAAAACCCAGATCCCTGGTTAGGACTGTCCAGGACACAGAACTGCCCAGTATGCTTCTGTGTCTGGCACTGTAGTGGCCTTGATTCAGACGAAGGCAGGAGGGAAAACATAGTGGCATGTTCAGAGCTGCAGTGATGCACCAGAGGTCTACTAATCTGCTGTGTGAACTGGCCTCATCTAGATTAATGGGGCCAAGGTCTCTTAATAAGTCTCCAGATTCCCAGTCCCCAAATTCTTTCCTCTAGTGCAGTGATACTCAGCCCTGGACCCACAAGTTGGATGCATCCCATGGAGTCATGTAATACAGCCTGAGGATCTCCCTACAGGTCTAGAAATCTGGCAGTTGGGACACAGTGACAATTAACACTGTTACCATTCCCCTACTGCTAAATTTCCAAGTCTCACATGTCTAGAACAGCCCTAGCCAGGCCAACCCCACGTGGAGGGACCAGGGCCCATTTCTGTGAGGCTGGATTGTTTCCACAGATGTGGCACCACTCATCCAGCCTGTGGGCCAAAAGGTCAGGCACTACTAGATGTTGCTTCCTCTGGAGAGGGCATCTTTGACATCCATTCTTCTTTTGTTGACAGCAGCTCGTAACCTTTGTTTCCTGCAGCGCAAACACCTACCATTTTAATATAGGACAAATGAAAAATAACATTTGTAAAAATCTTTCATTGTGATTCTCATAATTAAACTCTACTGGAGTCATTCTGAAACAGTCTTCAGCAAACAAACCAAACTAGGTAGAACTAATCTGCACAGATTAATTTTGTTCTGTAGCCCCAGTTTATGGGGCAGCAATCTTGCCATGCTTATTGATTATCAGACAAGACTACTAATCCCCTTAAGGTCATTAAGTGTACTTAATTAAAGAGCAGTTAGCAAGCTTCTCTTTACCAAAGTAATAGTGGCTGTTAAAAGTGATTTGTACATTACCAATAGGGTTGCTATTAATTTAAAGGTCAATTTGTCATTTCTATTTTCCAAAACAAATATATTTGGTAGGAGGAATGAGTGCTGAAAAACATCCAGTGTTTACTGGTTTTGGTGTATGTGAGGAACAATTGTTAAGAAGAAGAAAATTTCTTTTATGTTTCATATGCATAAATACAAGTACTGTTTAAGTGTGCATTTTCCATTTTCTACTTCTCCCATCACGAATTTAAATGATATATGTAGGCATAGCAATAGCTAAATATTCAGATCAGTATCTAGAGAGACATACAGGTTAAGTATTAGAAATCTATCATTAAAATTATATGCAAACTTCCATTTAATTCACTGAAGTGTCATGATTTTGTTAAACATTCTGTTTTGCCAGTTTTCAAACTGGATCATAGCAGTGAATCAATTCAATCCCTTGATTTTTTGAGAGAGAGTGAGAGAGATTAAATTTGGGGGAGAAAAAATAAATGTTATCAGCCTTTGAAAAAGGCTCTTTTGACTATGCTCAGCCTGAATTCACTAAAAATTTTCAGCAGTGCCTAAAGTAGCCCTAGCTATTTTAAGATGGGTATCACAAACATGGTGGGAAAACTGTTGTTGTCTCCTTTTTCAGATAGAAGATCTTGTGCCCAGGCTTCTGCTGGGAAGATGTTTATGAGGAGGATAGAAATACACTCTACCAGTGGTGATGCGTAGGGGGTGCATGTGCACCCCCTGAGAGCGCTGTGCACTCCCTGACAGCCAGCACTTTCCAGTTAGGCGATGGGCAGGAGGGGCAGGTGGAAGCACCCATGCCTTCTCTGTGAGCATGGCTGGAGAGTGGGGGTGCCAGGAGAAGTTCCACTGGCACTTCTGGGAGTGCCGCTCGTGCTTCCGGGTTGGTGCGATTGGGATCCCCCCTCCCTCCTCCCTGGTCACCGAGATTGGCCATCAGGGACCCCCGTCCTATGGTTTGCTGACTAGCCTCTGGGGGGGGGCATGTGCCCCCCCGACTTAGGAGGCACCAGTCACCAACACACTCTACAAAGCACTGAGAAACAAGACAGGTCTTGGGTACAAAAATATTGTAGCTTCTAACTCTGTCAGGTTCTTCTATTTCTGCCCTGTTTCCAGTTTTGAAGCAAAGTCTTGTTCATTTGCCATATTATATTTTGCCTGTGAGAGCAGGTAAACATTTGGCTGGCAGGCCCACCTGAAGTATAAAATATTTTCACTGCAAGTATACAAATATAATGCTGTAATTTACTTTTCTCATTCAAGAATAGGATTTTTTTCACTTTCTAATGGATTAGAACAGCCATTTTGAACTTTTAGCTAGTTACAAGGTAGAAGACCGTAAGCAGTACACACCAAAATTTATTCGGGTGAAGCCTTCAGATAATGAATAGAAAGCAAGAAAATTGCCAGCTATTCACAGCCAAGGAACAGAGGTCATGTTCATAAAAGAGTTTGTCCTGCCACCCTCCCATCCCATTGGGAGTGCTTGTGGAGAAAGTTGTCAATCAGCATGTATAAGGGTCAAAACAGTTTCTGTCCTTAAAACCCTGTTTCTGCTCTGACTATGAAACCTATAGGAGTTTTACTATTGCCTTCAATGACATCAGGCTTAGGGCCTTCTTATTCATGCTTGACAGTGGCATAGTACGTGCCCACTCGTCTTCATTTTACATGTGTATACACCATTTCCTATTAAATATGATAGATGTGCCCCCCCTACATTTAATTTGGATATTTTCAAGCAGCTTACCAGCTAACAGTTTTTTAATATTCTATTTATTTATTTAATACTGTTGCTTGGGATCCCCATATAATCAGATAAGGGTCATTAAATCACTTTTGTGATTAAATAGGATAATACTATTTATTTTCTTTCCTCACCCTATCTATATTAGAGCTTATGCTGTCTATATTTTGATATTTTAAATGAAGTTGTTATTTTTTTAAAATATCATAATGATATGAAAAAGCTATATTATCTCATTGTGAGGATTACCCTCCTCCACCTTATCTACCATAATGTCTGCACATATTGGCCTTCAGATTTCCCCACGTTGGTAGCTGCTGACCTCAGGCATTTCTCTAGTCTCCCATCTGGCATCTGTTATTTATCCTCCACATAGTTTTAAAATATGTTTTTTCATTCCTTAAGATGTGCTGAGTAGTCTTTGTAAACTGTTCATGCTCCTGGGGATTTTGCTCCATTCAAGTGACAGAAATCTCATTGTGAGGTGTGCTTGGAGACCAAGTTTCTCCCTGGTTCCTGTCCTCTTATTTGGCCCACTGTCATCAAGCCACAATGTACAAAACCTACCTGGGGAATCTGGGAAGGGTCAGTTAGATTTTTTTTTATGCTACCCTACCAAAATGTAATTGACTCAGCTATCTATCTCTGGAGCAGAAGGCAAGTAGGAAGCAGAACTCAGCTGCTTGTGCAGTGATCTTCGTCTAGTTGGCAATATATGAAATATTTTTGCAAGGGACAATTGGCTGGGTGCTTTGAAGCTACAAGCTCTGGATGCGTAAGGGATATGTGTGCATTCTAGTAAATGCTAGTGCTTGACAGGTACTGATTAATCATTGCTATTAATGCTGGGTAAATCCTGCAGACGTTCTACAAACATTGAGTAACCCTTCTGCCAGGCACCAGTCAGCAGCAACAAGGGCTGAGCTCAATTTTGGGGTACTAAATATATTTTAGCTTGACTTGCACCCCCATCCAGACCATCTGGGAAACATTAAATTACTAGGCTGTCCCACATAAACAACCCCCGCCTCCTTGTAAGCAGTGTAAACACAAACACTCAAATTTATTACAAGAAATAAAAAAGCAAAACAATAGAAAATACTAAATATAATTTCAAAACTACAGTGCAATGTCTATGGATGGCATCCTCTTGGGGAGGTTTCACCCATACCCAGGTGGTCTGGGACTTGGGGCTTTCCAACAGGTAATTCTGGGGGCCTGCCCCCTATACCTGCCCTCCAGCAATGGGCTGGAGAGGGGGGCCCACATCAGAGAGTCCTCTGAGCTGCTCCTTGGGTTCACTGTGCCATGGGGAGCTGTTCAAGAGCATGAGACCTTCTGCATTGCAAAGGACTCTGCTGCTCCTGCAGAAGTGGTAGAATACTGACCTCCACTACCACATGGTGGCTTTCAGGGGTTAACTGTGGCTTTTGTCAGCATACCACACCTCCACATTTTTAGTCCCAATCCCAGGAAATAAATTTGACAACTCATTGAAGAAGTGACTTGGAAAATCATAAAGATTAAAACCAGGGACAAGGAACCTTGAATGATTCTTGCCTGATGACTTTGCTCTGAAAATGGATTTTGTACATTGGTAGGGAATCCTTACTGTGGGAGAGGGCTAGAGCTTTGGAAATCATTAAGAGGCCAAATGGCAGGGGCAATTCTGCCTGGCCTGCTATGCTTGGGCCACGGTGTCATAGAAAGTGCAATTCTGCCTGATCTGCTATGCTTGGGCCACGGTGTCATAGAAACGATGAGATTAGACCAAGGGAGGGTATATTTCAAGACTTGGTTTAAAAAGATCTGTAATTCCTGAGTGCTCTCAAGAGTAGTCTCTGTGTTAAGACATTCCTTTCACAGCCTGTTTCCTTCTTTCCTTGTTACCTGCCAGGTTGTCACCAGAAGGGATGGAGGTCAGGCAGAGGCACCAGTTTTGTGGTTTAGGGTGGGGTTAGACTGGGGCGGGCAAAGTCTGGCCCACAGGCTGGTTGAAGCTGGGAGTGCACTCCATTTCCCAGCAACGCCTGCCCACATGGCTGGGGCTTGTTTTCATGGAGACCCCAGCAGCAGCCATGCTGTGATAGCACGGGGCCAGGATTTCTGTAGAGAGTGACCCCAGCAGAGCTGGCAGGCAGCATTGGCACCAGCTTCTTTCTGGTGGGTGGGCCTTGAGTGGGGGCGTGTGCTGCGGGCAGGAGTAGGCCAGCTGGCACTGCTGGGAGGGATGGCTATGGGGAATTTTGGGGTGAATATAGCCCCCCCGCCCCCCAGTCCCATCTCTAGCACTGCCCCTGCTGACAGGGCATGCAGCAGGGTGCAGAGCTGCTCTGGAGCCCAGCTGGGATCTTGTGTTGGTGACAGCGTGGTCCAGAGCCAGGGCAGAGCTGCGATCTGCAGCTGTTCTGTTAACAGCCTGCCTCCAACTTTTCCAGTTGCAAACTCTTGTAAGTTATTTGGACAAGCAGGCAAATGGGCTTTACAAGTTCTCTTCTTTCATATTCTTCAGCAAATTTACTTTGACTGAGCCCATGCTTCACCTGTGTTAATTTTCCATGATTATTCCATGACTATACCATGAGCTTTATTTGTATGGATAAAAGCAAGTGTTAAGCTTGGATAGTTGACCAGTTTTGTTGAATTTGCAGCTGCAATTTTACATTAATATGTGTGGTTTGAAATTCATGCTTTTTGTTGGTTAGATAGCAACCATCCAATCAGGAAGCAAACAGAGTGCCATATGACTGGATGTCAGTTTGAGGTATAGTTCAGATCATTTGCCAGCAATCTGAAGAGCTTCAATTATTTTCTAAAGAAACTCATGGGTGATTTAAAATACCAAATATACCAAGGATCTTGCAGCTCGGTGGTGGGCAATTTCTGAAGAAGAAAAAAAGTCATACAAATTATTTGACATATATATCTTACACTGCTCTTGTCAGAGCACCACTGTCAAACATACCGATGTTGTTATCTACATGCAGAAATAAAGATACACTTGTTAAGATCAAGACAGAGAATCACAGCCTGGAATCAAAATCATTTTGCCATCTGATTCTTTTCTCTATAATTTCTTCAGTGCTCCTCTCATTGGAATTAGACTATTACTATTTTTAAATTATTTAAGAGGCCTTATAGCAGAAGTCAAATGCAAAAGATTTGCAAATTTTTATTCCTCCTTTTCTGTCCTCTCTTTACATGCCGTACAGGAATCTTATGCACAGAATATGGAATTTTTCATTGCTGAGCTGATGGGTCTCATGCAACCTAAGGGCATCCTCTGATGGCTGCTGGGTGGCTTGTGTAAAATCAATTTGGTGATCACCATTGAATTAAAGTGCTGATGGATGCAGCATAAGGATTCAAACAAATACAGTGTTCCCACTGTGTAAGTGTACAGATTATAATGTCCACCGTTAATTGCTCTACCAGTTAGTAGTCCAAACAGAGAGGTCAAGAACTGAGTAGAAATGGAAATTAAATGACTCCCTCTCACCTAGAGGTTATCCCTTTGGGTCAGGACTAAAATGCATGGACTTTTTATGTGAAAATAGCTGTGTTCTCATATGAATCCTCCTCATACACAGATGACATTTACTTTTTTTTATAATATACAAATTACAAAGTTCTGTTTAGTGATTTCCAAAGGAAGGTCTGTCCTATCTACGTGAGGCTCCTGAGTATTTCATAAAGTAATACCACTGCTAGTTTATAATCAATTGAATGAAATCCTCACAATGGGGGAAAATCCTCAATCAAATTCCCATCAACTTCAATAACACTGAGTAAGTAACTGTTCCAAATAAATAAAGCTTTGTGTCCTACTTATGAAACTAGTAGCATCTTGTATGTGCTTTTTGTAGCCAGAAATAGTTTGACTTCGTGGCATCATGTGAAACAAATGCCCTCAAGAGTCTGTTCCTCATGCTGTTTCTGCTGTTTGATTGTGTGTTCCTGCTGGTGTTTTTACTCAGGCTTGAATGATGTATCAATGGCCCCCCTTAGGATCTTTACACTGCAGAAAAAAGAATCCCAATTTCTGATTATAAGAGACTGACATATTGGTGGGGAACACTGAGCACTAGCAGGCACTTTCCACACTGAAGCCTTTAAAGAAGATCCTGAAAATAAAAAGACCCGGGGGAGGAACAAGATGCTGTATCTTGTCAACTCCTTGGGATAGTGTGTGTGCTTATGAAGAGATTTCATCTAACTAAAGTAGAAAGCAGCTCTGGATACAATAAATGTATTTCTTCAAGGGAGGCAAAGGGAGAAAAGGAAAAGGAACTATGCCTAATATTGAAGTAAAGTATGTATGACAGGGGCATAGGTTCTACCTGGTCTCCAGAGAACAAAGATTTCACCTCAGCTTGGTTTTCACTTCCCTTTGCACAGGCACTCAAGGGAAGGATTATAAACTGGCCACTTGAAGACCGGGCTTTGCACTGAGGGGTCATAGGACAGGGGTAAAATTCTAGTTACAAAATTTAGTCTTTTCTTTTTCTGCTTTCGTTAACTTATGTTTTTGTGATAAACCTTATTTCTTGGGGGAAAAAAGATCTTATAGACTGCCTTTATATTTTTACCTGTTTAATTATTCCACCTGTTCACAGGATGATTTTACATGGGGTAACATATCTTCAAAAATGAGGAAGAACAGAACGATTTATAACAACTCGTTGGAATAAGGTAATGTGAGTAGTATTTCAAGTATGCCTGAGTATGGGTAGTCGGAGGAATTTTGTCTGGCCAACTAAGAAATTGTTTGGGGATTCTATCAGCAAGTGATTGCCAATTTAGTTGTCTGGTCAGTTCTGTTTCCGTGACCAAATTGCATCAATTTTTGGAGGAGAGGAAATGCCCCTATACCGTATACATATTTTTTGTTGTGGCACCCAATGCTATTTCAGGCTAACAATTAAAAGCAGCTTCTGTTCTGCAAGCTTGTCTGAGTGGTTTCACTTATAATATTTGGGTAACACTGATATGATCTTGACCCATGAGTGAGAGAGGGCTCTGAGTATACCTGAAATGGTCAGATCACTTTCAGGTGTTACTGACCTCCATAGTCAACTATATCTTTGTAGTTCATTACATATGGATAGGAACCCCTTCCACAGAAGCTACAATTATCAGTCTTGACAAGATTTCATAAATATAGACCCTTGAGCCTTCAGCCCTCATGAATGTGAGTACTTCAATTGATTACAATGGGGTTGTTCATATAAGGGCTGCAGGCGTGAACAAATTGTTCTATTACTGAATTATAAAGAGAAAAGAAGAAATAATGTTTAATTTTTTTAATGCTTGGAAAGATCATGTTTGGATAGTTTTATATTTAGGATACAGGGTATATTATGATAGAAAATGACATTGTATTGTGTCTGCAACAAAGAAGTTGTGCCGTTAAAAATGCATTTTTCCCTATGAATATGGTACATCTAATCACAGCCAGCAGAAAGTTTGAACCTTTGTTGAACAAAGGGCAATTTTAAATGATACATAGAACATCTTAAAGAATTAACTTTCTTCTATTACACACAGTTGTGATTTCTTGAGATATATGCCAACACACAAGACATGGACATTACCTGTTCACCAGGTGAACATAACCTTTTACTTCTGGAAACATGGATTTCAAACCCAGCACTTAGTAAGTATAAACTAGGTGGTCTCAGCATAATCCCTTGTGAGCATTTGACTGCTTCCAAAAACTTGCTGCAATTTAGCAGAATCATTTTACTCTGCTCAGGAGAATAGCGAGATCCCAGGGAAATTGGAGCTTTTACCAGTGCTAAAGCTGGCATTAGGTAATTAGTCTTCTTGCTGTGGGTATAGCTGTGGAGCATAAGGCAGTGCCACGCAGAGATACCTGAACCAGCTCAGGTCACAGAAGTAACATAACCGTATTAGTGCAGCATTCGACCTAGGCTGATCTGCCCTGCTGAAAAGCAGGGCAAATTAACCCATACAAAGAATTGCATTCATGCAACTACTGCTTCTAGTACCCAGCCTAGCTCAGATAAGTCTGTGTGGCACTGTGCTGAGCTCTCTAGAATTATGTAAGTGTTATGATCCCTGGAAATGCTCTTTCTCACCAAAATATATCAATTGTCATTGATTATATGGCCACATAAATTAACATAAAATTGCAGCAATGTAGTACCATATTTACTCAAATGCAAGGTGAGGTTTCCTCCCCCCAGTTGGCATGGGGGAAAAAGCCCCTCATCTTATAATCGCATACAACACAATCTCACTAAAAACATTGTTTATCATTAAACTGCTGCCAAAAACAGCATGTGCTCAGCAATGGAAACTATGAAGCTGATTAAATGTAGCCAACACTGAGCATGACTATAAAACACATGGTCCACACTGGGCAAACAAACTGATGGAAACCTACCACAAGAATATGTTAGCATAGGCCATCTAAATAAGACGTATGGTAGTGCCCATTAAGCATAGTCCCCTTTACTGCTGACTCTTTTTGAAGTTATGGTGAGCTACAGCATTGCATACTTTTCACCCAGAATCCCTCTGTCAGTCCTTCTCTTCTCACCCTTGGCACATATGATTAGTGTGGCCCTGCTGTCATAGATTCATAGATGCTAGGGTCGGAAGGGACCTCAATAGATCATTGAGTCCGACCCCCTGCATGAGAGCACCACCTCCCTGGGGAGCCCGTTCCAGACCTTGGCCACTCTAACTGTGAAGAAGTTCTTCCTAATGTCCAGTCTAAATCTGCTCTCTGCTAGCTTGTGGCCATTATTTCTTGTAACCCCCGGGGGCGCCTTGGTGAATAAAACCTCACCAATTCCCTTCTGTGCCCCCGTGGTGAACTTATAGGCAGCCACAAGGTCACCTCTCAACCTTCTCTTGCGGAGGCTGAAGAGGTCCAGGTGTCCCAGTCTCTCCTCATAGGGCTTGGTCTGCAAGCTCTTAACCATACGAGTGGCCCTTCTCTGGACCCTCTCCAGGTTATCCACATCCCTCTTGAAGTGCGGCGCCCAAAATTGAACTCAGTATTCCAACTGCAGTCTGACCAGCGCCCGATAGAGGGGAAGTATCACCTCCTTGGATTTGTTCATCATGCATCTGCTGATGCACGATAAAGTGCCATTGGCTTTTCTGATGGCTTCATCACACTGACAACTCATGTTCATCTTGGAGTCCACTACGACTCCAAGATCCCTTTCCGCTTCCGTGCCACCAAGCAGGTCATTTCCTAGGCAGTAGGTATGCTGGACATTTTTCCTCCCTAGGTGCAGCACTTTGCATTTCTCCTTG